GCTGCCTTTTCGTGACCTAGGGAGGCCATTTCAACGTAAAGCCTTCCCGCTCCTATAGAACCAAACCTTCAAGTTTTGCGAATCTGCCGTCATCGCCTAAGGACAAAGAAATCCCAGTTATTACTGTTCTTATTTTATATTAAGCCTTATTTATGCTCAGGGACAGCTAGATATCACACAGGCTGTAGGTCACACGTTGCATCACGTAAAGAATTAGTATTTTTGTAAAAATACGGTGGCAAAGTGCATCCTGAGCTCTTGTGCACCCCTGCTCCTGCCGAGCAGCCCTCCGCGGGGATGTCGCTGCCTCTGCTTGTGGCAGCACAGGCTGAGCGTGAGAGCGGTCGCAAAGGAAGAAGTTGCAAGGTCCTTTACAGGGTCATGCCCATCTCTTCTCTTTCCCACTATGTACAACTAAACAGTTTTATGTTGCCAGTGTTATTTTGAGTACCCTGCACTGTTCTGTGTGAGATGTCTCCCTTAAATCTCTGCTAGGGGTATGCACACACAGATGTGCACTACAAACGATTCTGTCCAGACCCCCACAAGCTGAGGACCATCAGAGGCCTCGTTGCCCAGGCAGGTTTAACGCCAGCCCACAGAAAGGATCAGGCCCTCCCCATGTTTTTCCAGCCAGGAGGAGATGTGACAGCCAGGTACCCTGACAAACCTGGCACAGCTCTGGCGGGCCGTCCCCCTCCTTGCCCTGGGGTGACCTGGCAGAGCATCCCCTGGGAGACCCCGGGGTACCTGCTAAGGGGCACTAGGAGTGGGGATGCTGCTGAGATCCCCCCAATTCCCTCTGAACCCCCTCATCTCATCACAGTGTCTGACTGAGCATGGGGCTGCCCAAATTCCTAATTTCTTAGCAGAGGATTTTGGGGGATTTGGGATGAGTGGGATGGGAATGGTCCTGCCAGAACTGCACCCAGGGGGACATACAGCCTCTGGCCCAAGGGATGTGGGGCGGGTGGGGATTGGGGATGCCATGGGTGCCGTATCAGAAGAGAAGGGTAACCAGGCAGGGGAGCAGGTCCCAGCACAGATCAGGGTGGTTGTAATCCCAGCCGGCACACGGGCTGGGAGGAGAGATGCTGTTGGTGGGTGAGGAAGAAGAGGGAGGGGGGTTGGGGCAGGAGGGGTCTCCCATGGCAAAGTCTGCACCCAAGCCATGACACAAATATACAGGGACAGACACACAGAGCATGTAAACAGGCACATGGGGAGACCATGTGCTGCTTCGCTGCCGGTGGTGGAGAGCAAGCCCGGAGCAAAGGCACACGCCAGCCGAAACACACACACACGGCCACACAGACGCACAGATTTTTCCCACGGGGGATCTTTCCAGCCTTGCCTTCATTTCCTGGAGTGCTCAGAAGGAAAAGCCAGAGAGCGGAGCTGGAGAGGTGAATGACACTGAACGGTGATGGGAATGGCTTTGTACATCACGCTAAAAATAGTCCTCGTGATAAAGTCAATCGCGGCGAGGGAGGAGGTGCAGGCAGTGCACAGATGCTGGCGAGGGCTGCCAGGGGTTTGGAAGCCTCACACATCAAGGGTGGAGCAGAAGGAGCCTTGTTGGGCCATAATTAGAGCTGGTAACTTGCTCCAAGCAGCAGAGGGAATTAAGCAGTGGGCAGCTTGGGATAGGTCCTGCCTGGGCACATGACACCCCCTCTTTTTGGGATGGGTGCTTTGCAGCCCTGGGAAATGGGAAGCAGCAAGCGATTACTGCAGCTGAAATTGTGCTGGGAACAGCTGGGTGCTCTGGTTTCCTTTGAAGTATCAGTTTCTATTTGTTTAGAAGAGGAAGGCTCTCCCCATCTCTGGGGCTCGCAGGGTAAGGGGGAGAAGGCAGGCGGGGGCTGGGACATGGGGAAGGTCCTCAGGAAGAGCCAAAGCTAAAGGAAAGGGCCCCGATGGAGAAGGGAGAGGGTATCTGCAGGGACAGACTGCACCCAGAGCCGGCACTGGAAGAGATGCTCGGGCCAGGGTGACCCCAGTGAGCCTGTGCAGGGTGGGGGGCAGGTGGAGGAGCCGGCAAGGTGATGGAGAGGGAAGGCAAAGCAAAGCACGTGTGACTTCAGAGATCGCCCTTTCACGTCCTGCAGCTTCTGCACGCTAAGCCGGGGCCGGTGCCAAGCTCTCCCCAGCCTGGCTGGTCCCTCCAGCAGACACCCCAAACTGGCCGGGGACGCTGAGCTCCAGCCCAAGCCAGGATCCCGCTCAGCGGTGCAGAAGGGAGAGGCAGGAGGGCTGCCAGAACTGGAGGCTGAATTTTCAGGAGCCTTTTAAACCCTGTGTCTCTGTCCTCCTTGCATGCCATGTGGCAAAGGCAAAGGGAGACGCAGGGTCCAGGGGCACCCCGGCGTCGGGCGGCGCTGGCCTGGCAGGCGTCAGGAATAACTCCCTGCCTGCTCCTGCCGATGATGATTCACGCTGCGAACTTGAGGCAGGATGGGAGCTGACACAACTGGGCCCAGTGCCGATCTCCTCGGAGGAGGAGGAGGAGGGGGACGTGTTGTGAGCCAGCACCCGTGAGCCGCAGTAGCCCCTGGGTGTCCCACAGGAGCCAGCAGCCTGGCCCCTCTGCCTACGCTGGGGCACAGGCTGCTGAAGGGTTCGCGGCTGATGGAAACAGCCCCAAAATCCCTGAGGAGAATTCACCTAGTGGGGTACAGCCTGCCTTGGCTGTGCATCCCACAGCAGCAGCCCAAAGCAGGGTGGGGGGACCCAGAGACAGGAGTCAGGAGCAAACAGCCCTGTATGGGGGAAACTGAGGCACAGACACAGGCGGTAGGAGGGGCTTGGCAGGGTTAAGCTCCTCTCTTCGCAGCGAAGAATGGGATTTGTGACAGCAGTCCTCTCCCAGCATCCTCCGACTGCATCCCAGAGGATGCTGAGGGTGTGGGTACGGCACCAAACACCCCCCCGAAGCCCCCCTCCTGCCCATGGGCCTGGGCACAGTCCTGGAGATCCGCAGCGCGGCGACATTTAGAGGAAAAGCGAACCTCGCAATGAGTTTCACGCTAGGTTTTGTCCCCTTTTTTTGTCGGCTGGCAGGGGTCCATCAGCCAGCGGTAGCCCAGGGCAGGGGGACTGGAGGGGATGTGATGGGGGACCGGAGCAAACCTCCTCCCCGCTCGCTGATGTCTACCGTCACGTGGAGGCGCTGGGTATTTCTCGCCATTTCAAAAGCCGTGTTTCTTGCAGGCTTTGCCTGTAAATGACTTTAATCTTCATAAGCCCCAAAAGTAAAGCTGCTTATATGGCTGGGGCCTGCCGGAGCACTAGGAGGAATGGAGGGGGGTGGTGTGGACAAGAGGAGGGGGGGGTTAGTCCAGGGGAAACAAAACCTTAAGGTGGATCAAGGCCCATCACATCCCCGTCCTGTCCCCTCCGGACATCCACCCCGGGGTCTCAGGGGAAGGGTGTCGGGAGCACTGGCCCTCTGTAGTTACTGCCATCTCCCCTCCGCTCCAGAGGGCTCTTGAAGGCTGTGTCGCTCCATCCTCCATCCCACCTAGACCCGAGCTGTGCCTGCTCTGTCCCAGAGCCCCCCGCTTTTCCCCTCAACCCCCCCCCAAGCGCAGTCTTGGTCCCAGTCCTGGCCCAGAACAGACCGAGAGCTCCCAACTCCCGCTCGCGAACCAGGCAGCCGGTACAGCCGATGCCCCGCGCATCGTTTAACGCTGAATAATTCTCCGTGGATGAAGGGAACTATTTTAAACTCACTGAGCCCTGCGTGCCAGACGCCATCTCCACCCAACACCTTTCAAGACAGCAGGGACTCCGTGGGGACACGTCATTTGGGGTGGGGGGGTCCAGGACACTGCGGGGTCCTGCTGCACACACGTCTTGAGCCCCTTGGCTGAGACAAGCAGGGCAGGGAACAGGGTCCACAGGGTCCGGGGATCAGCCCCAAAATGAATACCCAGATCTTCCCGTCTGGTCCAACCATCTCCAGATAAAGCCTGGCTTAAAAGGGAGTTTTGCCATCACTTGGCAGCTTCATCACTGTCACAACCTCACCAGTTCTCACGGGCCGGATGGAGACAAGGGATGCCCAGGCTGCTCATTCCGGCTACATGGGGACCCTGGGCAGAGATGGGGGGACCATCCCCACCGTGTACCCTGCCAGGGGATCCCAGGACCCCCAGGGCACCGTGCTCCTCCCCAACCCAGGGCTGTATCCCATGGGAGCAGAGCCGGAGACAGAGGGGCGGTGAGGCAGGATGTGCCGCGTCCATATGGAATGGTTTTTTTATTACAGTTTTAATCTCACAGTCGGTAGCATTACATGAGAATAAAGCACTGGACAGGACTGGAAAAAAAGGCCTCTGGAGACAGCATGCAAACATTGCAACGAGTTTAAAGCAAAACAACCCAAAAAAAAGCGTCTCGCGGGGACGCGGCTGCGCTCTCCCGACCGGGCGGCGAGTCCAGCGTCTCCCCTTTAACCATCACTTCTGTCGTTGGGGTTTCCTTTTCGTGTGTCCGTTTCATTGGCTTATTTATTTTATTATTATTCTTCTTTTATTAACCTTCTTCTCTCTTTTTTTTTTTCTTTTTTTTTTTTCTTCTTTTAATTACATTAAAAAATAAGATTCGTACTTTAGTAAAACACCCAGCACTCAGCTGGGCCCTGCTTGAAATAATAAAAAACAACCAAAAAAACCAACAAAAAACCCCCCAAAACTGAGAAAACAAAAAAAACCCACCCCAAAATCTAAAAAAAAAAAAAAAAAAAAAAAAAGCTTGGGAGACCAAAACAACCCCCCCAAAACCTGGGGAAGAAAAAAAAAAAAAAGACTGATTTGGAAGTTTGGAAGCGACCAGGAGAATTTGGGGGGTGGGGGGCAACACCCCCAGGGCTCCCTCCCGGCTGCTCCTGG